GAGTAAAAAGGCTATCAACTTTAGTTGAAGGTAAGACTAGCGGTCAGTCCGTCAACAAGGTTCCAAAGAATGTTATTTTTTGTATTTATAGGCATAGAAAGCGAGTCACAGAAGCCTTGTTCATCTTCGGGCGCTAGAGGGTCTACCTCGGAATGGGCTCGTGGGCACCGTCGCGCGTGGAGCATGCCCAATGCTAAAGGTGATAAGATGACGCTTGCTATCATTCAGGACAAGGAAACAAAGGTGAGCAACTTGGACTTTTGCTACAGATAAATCAGATAAATGTATATTTTAGCCCTGACGTGTATCTAGTTCAAGTAAGTATCCTTATAGAAGAGACGAAGTTCCGTAGAGTTCTTACAACCTTCTTCTTCTTTTAATTGCTTCCAATTAGGGAACATCACAGACGAAATTATCGCAAACGAGAAGTACCAGAAAAAAATATGTAAATATTGTTTCTCTAGGGAAGAAAAGGTTTTCTCACTGTGATGGGGGAGTACAGGAAAGAGAGCATTTGTCTGAGAACTCGAATTCGTTACACCAATGCTTGACTCTTATCTCTTTCCGCATTTAATGGACGAGACACTTCTTCAAACGAGTTCTAGACAGTAGCCATATTCAACAATTAAGGATTTTAATTTCATTTTTACAGACAAATGGGAACACTCATAGACGTCGTGTGCTTCGATGTCGCTTTCATCCTTCAAAAAAAGAGCAGGGATCAACTAAACTCAACGAAGAAAGCAAAGATATCCTCGTTCCGACTGCACTAAAATTTGACCTGAGTGGAATGCCACCTCCTGATGAGGACGACAACGAATTGGAGGTTTTTTTTGTCCACTATCATAATGTTGGAGTCGGTGGCCTACTGAAAAGTTCGGATAGTTTATAGGTTGAAATCAATGAAGAGGAGGTCGAAGTGCCTGGTGAGACAGGGAAAGGAGCGAGGACAGTCATCAAAAGGGTTCGTTCGTAAAGTGCCACGATTGCTCTGGTGTCGCTTATTTCACTAATTTTCACTGCTATCACAGTTCTGGGAAGCGAGATGGAAAGCTACGAATTTCGAATATCTTCCTGAATGGTTGCAAGACAACGAATATCTGAGAAGTGGTATGTTTATGCAAAGCCATTCGGAACAGCTTTGTAGCTGTTTTGTGCGTTTTCTCGCAGGGATGGTAGATGTCAATCCATGAACGCGTACCCTTCATTTGTTTATTTTTTTGAAAGTGTCAATCAAGGTCATCGTCCACCACTTCCATCCTTCAGTAGCTGCTTCAAAAGCATCTTCGTACTTCACACAGAGACTGGCAATATTTGGACGCACATGTACGGTCAGTTCTCAGTTCCTGTGATGGTTACGGCTGTGTTTTTCACTATCATTTCCAGAAGGTAGAAGGCATTGAGTAGGGTCCTACCATTCATGTTACATTAAAACCCTTGATCCTCGCATTTATATCCAAAAACTCAGTTTGAAATTAGCAAACGGCCTAGGTGGATCGATGCATGGGATAGTGGAAGAGGCTCGTCTTCAAGCGTGAGATGATCACGGTAGCAATCGAAATTAGTTTTCATGACTGGAGAAATGTGAATGGTAAATAGCAATTAGAAGATTGAACGTAGTCCAGAGTTTGTTGGGACTGGTTTACTGAATGTTTCTCTAGTATCATGGGTGTTTGAGAGAGCCGACTAGCTCCAAGGAAATCTTTCAGCATCGGGAAAAATTCGGAAAAAATCTTCCTGTGGGTCATAAGTGAGTTGAGGTGTACGGAGACCAATTCTTAGCTCAGGAATTGGCAAAAAAGCATATTTTCGGAAATATTTACAGATTAAGTGGTCGCCTTTTGTGTAGGGCGGGTTGGATGGAATGGCCGGTTTTTGGGCGAAAGGACTGAAACAATTGTGGTTCACAACACTGAATTATGAAAGTTGTGTTTTCACAGAGTTACGAGCCATCGCTCGAAATCATCTGTCAATCAGGAACGCAGTAGCAAGTGGTTCCCAGACTTGGGTAGTCGTCAGATTAGCAACAGGAAAAAGAGCGAGTTTCGGTGGTACGAACCATAGGTTTTTTAGGTTGTGTGGCTTTCATTGGCATCGCTTTTTGGTTTCTCACTCGCCCATCGTCACAAATACAATTCATGGACAAAGTCGTGTTTTCGACTTACTTTTTGGGAGCTATACTATGCCTCGGCCTGTCATTCATCTTTCACACGGTCGCTTGTCATTCAGACACCGTTGGAAAACTATTCAGCAAGTTAGTCTTATCCTCTTTTTTTACTCAGAATGCACCAGATTTACAGTCTTCGTTCTTACTGAGTAGTGTCCCTTCACTGCAGTTATTCATAGCAGTAGGACATAAGGCCAACCCTCTCGGTTTTAATGCTCACTCTGCTAACCCTGGGAGTTTTTCTCAACAGAAACTGTTAGGATCGATTCGCGATTCACAGGTTGGATTATGCTGGAATCGCTCTTCTCATTATTGGTTCATTTATACCATGGGTTTACTATGCGTTCTATTGTCGTCCACAACCAATGATAATCTATATAACGATGATCAGTGTGTTAGGACTGCTAGCGATGATTGTCTCTTTGTGGGACAAATTTGCTCAGCCGGCATTCAGGTTTGTTACATTACATTCGTTATCGCTCGCATTTTTCGTATTTAAGTTATGGTAATAAATGTTTATTTGCATCGTTTCCAAAACCAATATTCAGACCGTTACGAGCTGGCATCTTCGTTGCCATGGGACTATCAGCTGTGTTTCCCGCCGCACATTTGCTATTTGTGGACGGTCTTGATTTCCTCTATATGAAAGTGTGTCTACATACTTTTGTCAAAAGCCATGTTTTATTGCTTTCACTAGTGGTTCCGATTTTAGGCGTCCCTGGTGTGGATGCTGCTTATGGGTGGTACGTATATAGGTGGTGCCGCGATTTACGCCACTAGGATTCCGGAACGATTTTTTCCTGGAAGATGTGATTTATGGGTGAGTAAGATGAATGATCTATGCGTCTCATGCTATTTGAAAGATGTTATGAGCAGCCGGCTCAGTTNGCATCTAGCTAATCAAACTATGGTTCAGTTTCAATCTCACCAACTCTTTCATACATTTGTCATTATCGCGGCATTGATTCACTTCCATTCTATTACTGAGATGGCTCAAAAGAAGCTGATGGAGGGTTCATGCGCCGAGCAACTGTTAGAAAGGTGAGTTCTGCTTTCCAGTCACTATTTGTTTAGTTTTATTTCTGTACCTCTTGTTACAGATATGGAATAGAGTCTAATCCATCCCTGCTTGGTGGGCTTTTAGGCTTAGACGAGGACCCCAACAAAATTTCGTGGAACGGTTTTCGTTAGCGATGTTACTGTAGTTTCCGTCCTTTCATAATGTTGTAGAGAAATTTCCTGTCCGTATTTTGTATTTGTATTGTATATTTTGTCCGGAAGGCGATATCGCCGGAACGTTAGCTTAAAGTTTCAGTAACAAATTCATGGGAGTTCAATGCAAAACAATGTCATGTTGCTTAAGAAACATGCTGTGAACGATTCTTGCCGGATAGCCGCCTCTCGAGGACATATGGATAATCGGAGCATATTTCTGATTCTATTCGTTTTGCTACCAAAGTAAGAATGTAGAAGAAATTCTCTGGATAGCAATTCGAGCGATGTCAGAGTCCTTACGATCAACTGGCCCTAGAGTCACGGTCATTGTTAACACGAAATTGTTAACCATGCATTCGCTTTTTTTGAGTCAGGCTCAGTTACCCCTCCAGCCAATCGCTATGCCATGATACACCGCGTAAAACGGAGGAAGCTTGCAAATTCTTCACAATCGCCTGCGACGCAAAGCAAAAGTGGGCTAGGTTTCCAATAGCGCTCAGCATGTGAAAAATAATGGCGATTCGTCCGCTGCCATTCCACAACTTGTATCTCCCTCCACAAAAGCCCAATTTTGTTGTTGATATGGAGTCCCGCCCATTCCCAACAGCGCTCTTCTCAAAGCTACGTCGTGCGCTCAATCTTAATGCTGCTCAAAGGCGCGGACTCTACGAACTAAGGGATCTGTCGCAGTTGCGAGTAATAAAAGTTAGCGTATGTGACGGAGAGGAGTTTGTGATGCTATCGCAGGATTTTGACAAACGATGACGCACCTCCATGCATACACAGACCTGCCGCAAAGGAATTCACGGATAGTACCGACATTTGAACAAGGTGTGGATGCCAAGATGGCAAATTTGCCAAAAACTGGGATAAACAGACTTAAATGTCAACTACCCATATGCCCCGTATTGTATTTGCTTGTTAAAACCCATGAACTTCCTCAGGATGGCGCACACGTAGAAGACCCCTGGCAGGTTTAGAAAAAAAAGACCCATCAAAAGGCGCGTTGGATGGTGGTCACACGGGTAGGGTTTTTTGATTTCTCGATCTAGTCCTTGTACAGCTGTTGCGGTTTGTCCCAGCACACTTACTTAACACTAATGGGTTCCCTAGAACACTATGTGATGCCAGGCAAGAAGTTGGAAATGTAATGGAGAAATTTTTGACGTGACACGTGACTTCAGAAGACACAAATTTGCCAGGGGAAGTGCAATAAAAGCTGTCCTCGGAATGTTAATCGAACATCATGCTAATCTAAAACTGCAGGGCCTCGATATCAACCAGTCATGTTGTTAACGAAAGTCCAAAGTGCAGCGTCTTCAGGTGATCAAGTGAATACCTTAAGCAAGTGAGAGGGCTAGACAAGGGGCAAAGGTTAGCACTGCCGCTGGCTATAGTATTCATGTCAAAAGTTGAAAGGCCCATTCAGAACGAAATCCAATAATTTCTGCCGCTATATCGGCGACTCTTTTATCGTGTTGTACTCAAGCTGAGATGGACACCTGTTTTGAGCTACTCATTAGACAAAGTGAACATATAAAGTTTACAAATAGAAAAAAAGGCAGGAAGTTTGCTCGCCTTCCTCAACGTTCAGATCTAAATCTCGTATGGCATCCTGAAAATGAAGTGAAATCGAAAGCTCAGCAGCAAGGGCATCCTCGTCCACTGCAGTTCAGCGCATCCATCAAGGGAGAAAACTGTCATTGACAACAGCATGTTAAAACTGCTTCTGTAGCTTCGTCTAAAGGCGTTTATCGGATGGAGTTTATAAAATTAGAAAAAATGTTACACAGGAAAATGGCTGTGGTTGCGATGGACAGCCTGCGTGACGTGGAAGACGTGATAGGATGGAACATGCGCAAGAGGAAGAGCGAATGAAGTATGGTTCTGTGTTCCATTCATTCTAGTTCTAGATAATATGGTCGCATTTGCGCCTGCCCCAAAAAGCTGANCTCCAGGATAGTGTGAAGGTGATCGAGATACCTCCTTGATTTTCAAAAGACAGTCGGTTCAAAATTTTAATCACAGTCAGAGATACCAAACGGCCTCCCCAACTGTGTAGGGAGGATTGTGTAAGGAAAACGGGAAGGCCTCTCTGCATCAGGATAAAGAAGCATTGGATGGGTTGAAAAGGCTACACCTTTGGGTGATCACAGGATACAGCACCATGGAAATGAAGGTAAGGGTCTCCGTAATGATACTCTCTGACAAGATAACATCTCAGCGCGCAAGTCTCTAAAGGCGTTGTAGATCGGGCAAAAAATCCAAAAATCAACAGGTAGAACGAAGGCGTGGCGATTACTAGGGAGCTCCGCCATTTGTCGCGCCACACAGTCGATCCTACGCGTCGCGCCGAGGCAGAGGATGACGGATAAAAATAGCCAAACTCTGAAAATCTAGCTTATGTGAACCACTAAGTTATCTGTTGGTGTGTGTATGTGTGTTGTCTGACCCGGGAATTCATGACACCTGTCTCACTAGACACAGTGCATCAGATATGGTAGGAGTACAGGCGGCAGGATGAGAACACTTATGGCAGGTGGCAGGACCAGACTCCTCCCACAGCGGGTGGGGTTTGCATGAAATGAATGTTCTAGTTAGAATTCGTAACTCCTTAACTGTTCCCTTAGACCTAAAACCTTCAAATTCTGCACGAGTACAGGCTTTATTGCGGCAGCATTGATGATAATAGGTGACAGGACTAGACTCCGCCCAAAGTAGGCGGGGCGAAAGGGTCAACCCTTTGACGACAGCGCGCATTTTTACGTGTCTGGCGCGCGGGACAGACGCATATCGAAGCTTTCCGCTTCCGCGGCTCACCGTTGAACCGCGTTGTCCCACGGGTTATACACTTTTCTAGAGTGAATTTTTTTTGCTTTTTTTCGTGCGTTCTTTTTATGATTCAGTTTGAACTAGGTGTAAATTGGGTAATTATGAGTTTTTAACTTTAGTTGGGTTTGGTTTTATGCATAATATAGCTTTGAGAGCCAAAATTTATCAGCCTGCACTGGACGATTTAGAAGGTGGTTTTGAAAGGTTATGGCCGAACCCAACGAAAGTAAAATTGAAGAATAAAACTTTCCAAGCTATATTTTGAAGGTGTACACATGGGGGGCTATGATTTACTCAAGAATCAGATTCAAGATTTACATCGGTAGTCAGCCCACGAGCAAGGATTCAGCAGCTGTGTTTGCTGTGGTCATGACTAATGGACGGACTTTTGAATCAAGGATACATCTCTATACCGATATCTAGTCAATGTGCTATTAGAACATAGCACCCTTTTTCCGTCACTCGAAAAGGCGAAAAGGAATACTAATTGAAGTTGAAGATAGGCAGGAAAAAAGAGGACAAGTTTCCGAAAAAATTTGTTACAAACAACTAACTCGAGCTTATAGAAGTGTTTACGCTCCCACAATACCAGTCCATCCTAGGGGCAGTAGATGTAGAAGTCATTTTTACACTCACTGTTTTCAAAAATGCACAAAAAGTGTGTTTTCCAGAGAGAGAAGGGAATTTATTAGTAATTTTCAGTAATTAGCAATGTTTTTCTTGGCCCACTTTGTGTATAGCGTTATGTTTTGATTGCAAACCCATTAAATACAAAAAACTCGAAGCTAAACTAATAATCGAGAAAAACAACCAATGAGAAGGTTGCGGTTCACCGTTGAGCCGCGCTCTCCCACGCGACCAAAAAACCGTGGCTCACCGTTGAGCCGCGCTGTTGTCAAAGGGTTAATTTGAACCGGGGGTTTTCAAATTTGGTAGTGGTGCAGCCTCTATGTCCCAACACATTAAAGGCGCGGTTCACGATAAAAATGGTTACTCCCTTGGAATACTCAGTGGCTCTCAAGGGTAATAGAAAAGACCCTCTCGCGCTCAAACGCTCGACGGCTAGGGCATAGTGGAAGCCCTGATCCCGGCTCGTGCGGCCTTCCCGCCCCCTAAATCGATCTCACGTCAGACGAGTCTTGAGGCGATAAAGATTACAAATTTTTGCTCTAAGATCCACACACAATCAGCTGATCGCCGAGCAATGAGGCGATGATTTCCTCCTATTCTTTTGTTCTCTGTTATTCTTTCTGCCGTTGCGATCCCTAATTTCATTTTCAATCCCAAGAGGCTGAAAAGGCGGGCTATTTTTGCTGTTCCTAAGTGTTTTTGATAACTTTGCTTATGAGTGAGTGAATTTTTGCCTACTGTAGTTAGTTATTCGCAGCAGGACCCACACGTGCGCACTGAAACACACTGTATAGCTCGTCCAAACGCCCCATTCTTCTTCACTTTTCTTATCTCACTCTCGTCCAACCCCTTTTCGACGATTTTCGAAGCATTTTTTCACTTTGGAAACACCGATTCACGCAGTTTCTTCGCCTTCATCGCACTATTTTCCATCTTATCTTCCATTTTTCGTCATAGTCTGGATTACCCAGAATTATCGTGAACTGTGCATTCAAAATACCGTGAGGAACTTTGGACTCAAAGTGCCGACAAAATAGCCCCATTCGATTACAGGTCAACTTTATCGCCTTTGTTTTGCAGCCCTTAGAATATTCATTTTGTAATTTGAAAAGGTGACCTGATGAATCACGAATAAACATTCGACTTGCAGGCTCTGAAGAAGGCGACTCATAAGCCTTTAATAAAGGTTGATACCAATCTAGAAGGCTAATGTAAGTCAATAAATAACAGCTGTTACGTGTACCGTGTAGCTGAGATCATTGCCGAATCGTGTCGTGAAAGATTTTAAAGGAGGCTTTGTTCATTCGATTGGTATACTTGGTACAGAATGAGGTTTCTTCTTACTTTGGTTTTAACATTGCGTGGCAAGGTAGGTATAGAAAGAAAACAGAACAGCGTAGAAGTTATAGACTCTCGTCAATAAGAAATCTCCAAAGCTCTTTCCATTGCGAACTGATCTAATCGAAACTTTGGCATTGCAGACCATCGTTTAAAAGCACGAGTTTTTGTTAGGAAACAGTCTTTGAGAGTTATTATCCCAATACGTTCCTAGGATGGAATAGTGAGCAAAGTGAGTAACAAAAAGTTGTAGCTCAAATTTTCTAAAATGCCGGAGTATAGTTCCTTTCTGCACACAAAACGATTCCATAAATAATGACTAGTTTTTTAAACTGTAGTAATACTGCTAAAGCACCATTGAGCCACAAGTGATACGTAACACCTATGTCAAGGAAAGTAGGAGACTGTGCTTCTGCGAATATGCTTCTAATTACTACATATATAGACGTCTTCAACAATCTGCTGGGCTATTATAACAATAAGCTCAATCCCTGGATGGAAGGAGTAGAAATCACAACGAAGAAGGTCTTTGGCTTTCAGTGGTCAAATATCAGTCCAAGCCATGCTCAGTCATTTGCTGGTACGCTCTCGAGTACTTTAGCAGCGCAGATTCCATATCCTCTCCCTGGATCGGCTGCCTGTTCCGCAAACTTCCCTGATCCGCCAATGTTGCCTTTGCTCTAGAAAGTACCGCAAGACGGCACACCTGCAATCGTAACATTTGTTTACACGATGAATTTTTACAAATAATGACATCATACCTACCTCTTTCAAATCTGATCCTGACAACCCTTGAGCCATGGAGGCAATCTTCTCCAGATCAACACTCTCCGACAGATTCTCTTGCCGTAAAATTACCTAAGGATGAGTAATGATAGTAGGCAAGCAAGTGTTTCTCGAACTACTAAAAATTACTTACACTTACTTCACTGAATACTATACAACATCATTGAGAAATCTGCATTGAGGAAAAGCGACCGACTAGTTCATTGTTTTTTCATTCATTCACTCATTCAATTCCAAGTCCCTGGGATGCTGACACTATTGCCTAATACTTGGACTTCAAGAGCGTAAATACCCCAGTACACCAGCCGTTCGATGACATCACACCTTCGACGAACCATCATACCCCTCTTCGGGAATAAATCTAAGGTCTGTTCACCATGCTCTTCTTTCTTCCTCACACCACACGACTTCTTTGCCCTATTTCATTTCTAATGCACATACACATCGAAACAAGCACAAACTCGCAATCAAGAAACGGTTCTCAGCACTAAATTGCACAGGTTATGTTCATTGCAGAGCTAGTTCTTTCACTAGACTTAGCCGGTCTCAGCCACAAACAGATCACGGAGGAAAAACACCATCTTACTAAACTACAACATCATTTAAAGAAGAACTAGAGCGAACGGAATCTCTACAAATGCTGACAGTTCAATGGATTACAGAATATAGCGACAGGATTACCTTGAGTATCTGTTCCCGCTGTTTTTCAGTAGGCATCGGAATTGCGAACCGAGCAGACATACGCCGCAATATGGCAGGGTCTACATCTTGAGGACGATTTGTTGCTCCCATTACGATTATCTGAAAATAGTAAAGTGAAAACTTGTTGGTATAGACTTCTCCTATCCTGATTGATATCGTCTACGATTTTTGAGGCACCAGATCACATTTGTACCAAATTGCTGCTAAGGATATTCTTACTTTTTACTCAACCGAACTGAATGGTGCCTACTGCACTGTCGTGCGTACATCCATTTGGGGGAGTCGGACAAGCCCATCCAGAAACCCTCCACAGACACACACGCGTACTTAAAATATCGTTAACGAGTTGAAGTTTATAACGATATTTTCCCCCTTCTCTTTGTTTTCAAAACTTCAGTTGCACCTTCTGCTAGCGAAAGTTAGCTGAAAACCTGTTAAAAAGAACCTTGTCATTGGTGGAGGCGAATCCATCCCACAATGACATGAACTGGGCTTTCATCATGGCGGTAGCCTCATGGTCTTGGGCTTGACGATCGCGAAGAAACGAATCTGAGAATATTTGTTTTCATCAAGTTGATACTTATTCAGACACTTTCAGAGCACTTTCGGATAGGATATTTTCAAAGTCAGATTTTAACTGGGTTCTCAATTATTACATAACAAATGAGTGCGCCATTTCCATCTAGACGGCAACGAGACCTGCGAAACAGAAGCCTGGGCGGAATGTTCCGCTCTTCATAAACTTTGATAGAAACAAGTTGAAAGTTTAATACTGGACAAAGAAGAGAAAGAACATCAACGAACACAAGAAAAACAAAAAATTACAAACAGCTGAGACTAGGTCATCTATTTCCTCTAAGAAATACGATTCTTTGTCATATTTAACTTTCATAAATGTATCGAACCAGACCAGGTGAAAAAATGGATTTTCGAAGAAGTCGTGACGCATTTTACGTTTTCCAGAGGTGTCATACTAATGAGGCAACATGGGCTTATCACAGACACAGATATCATAGATTTTTCATGTTGCTCGATGATTTTACAAAGCTCCTAACTTCCATAATTCCATGCGTAGTGGCAGAGACAGCCGAGTGGTTAAGGGTGTCGGCTCATGTCGCGTCAGCACCGTCGAGCAAAACTATGAGTTCGATCCTTGACGAGACAAAACCATGTCGAGCAAAAAATGCAAGGAAAGTTCCGATACCAGACCCAGGTTGACAAACCGGCTGATGGCACTCCTCTTCACAGTAAAAGCGAAGCTAGGACTTCAGCCAGACATGGCGCGCGGCTCAAGTTCTGTGGACAGTAGGCGAGAGCTAACGAGGAATATACCACCTCGGCTAAAGAAGGTAGTTCGCATTAAGATTGCTTACTGGGAGGTCCCGAGCAGTTGCTGACCTGATGAGCCGCAGAAGCATTTAAATCCGTTGTGTTCAGGAGACACAATGGAAAGGAGCAAAGGCAGGGGAAATTGGAGACGTCAAGCTCTCCTTCAACGGAGAAGACAACAAAAGAAGTGGTGTGGCCATCGCATTGTCAACAATATTCACAATCCATTGTTGTGAGGATTGACCACGAAAGAGGGGTACTGTACAAAAGTTTCGTGTACGCACCGCAAGCCAGCTGCGGTGCGCAAAGCGTGAGTCTGGCATGAGCCTTGGAGAGGCCATCAGACCAGTTCCGGAAGAAGACTATCTCACCATAACCGGTGATCTTAAAGGTCACATAGGAGAGGAGCGAAGAAGCCTCTTAAAAATTCACGGTGGCCGGGATTTAGGAGACGACCCATGCTCTAGCAGTCTGCAGCACCTTCTTCGCAAGAGCGGAACTCAAAAGTAACCTACAGCAAAACGGGAAGACAATTGGAAGTATCACGAGCTCCTGAGAGGATTTTTCCCAAACTGTAAAAAATATCGTACTGCCCGGTGAAGAATTAGCTTCGCAGCTTAAGCTCTTTAAGAAAGCACCGATGACAGCGGAGCGGAGGATTCGAAGGAGGAAGCTGCAAAGTGAAGAAAAAAAAAGACCTGAAGGATTTTGGAAGCTAGCTTTACAATTCCCCAAGGACCGATGCACCAGATTGGAGCAACGCTGGGGAGATTCAACACAGGTCCAACCTGTGCAAGGAAATGCAGAAGACGCAAGGCAGACACAGATTCTATTCGCAATGCTGCTGTTCTCCTTTGGCTTTTTTCATTTGTCGCTCTTCTGCATAGTTCCACAAGACTGGCAGTAGATAAATCCTACCTGCAGCTCGCGCGACTCTACACAAATGAGCTTGGAATATCCGAAGAAGAAAACCCCTTCATAATTTCAAATCGTTCCACTTTTCCAGCCGTAACATTCAACCATAAGCACATGTGATGTTGCCAGTTACAGAATTTTCCCATCATGTCGCAAAAGAAGAAAGATGTCTCCATTGATTAGAACCGTGCAGCTTCATATCTAAAACTTGAATCTCTATACACATCGAAAGGCAGAGGTTCGCGCCAAAAAGGAGACGATCTATGCTTATGGGAAATTTCTGAACACCAGCGGAAACATATACGTTGACCATGAGCCTGTGTATATATCGGAGAGGGATAGTAGTAATTAATTATGAAGATTGTTACGAATTATTCAAGTTTGGAATGCAGTCTTACTCCCGGTATAAATGAGACTCCACAGGATAAAACTCCATCGTTCTTCATTGGTGAACTAATGATCTCATTCTCTTACCGAACCAGTACCTATAAACTCCTTTGTGACCGACGTGGTAAAGCACTACATGGGAAAAAGTGTCTCCAGCGTTCTGAAATCACTATCTAGACGTCATTTTCCGATGACGTAGAATAAATCGTTTATCAAACTCAACCAGTCTAGCTAGAATGTTCCAATTTCTTTATTGCTTTCTCTGAAAAGGTCAATGGTCTAAAGATCGAACAGTATGAGGCAAGCGGAACAGGGTTACAAAAGAACTCTTTCTACTGTACACCCACTTAAAAAGGTGGAAAGACCAAACGAATTCATAATCAAACTCGAAAAACCAAAAACACTATACTAAGCCAAAAGAAAAACGCTCAAAAGGAAAAATGACAAAGTAAAAGCTTACCGATCTCATCAATAAATATGATCGTGGGCTGGAATTTTTGGGCCACAGAAAAGACTGCGGCCGCCAGTTTTTGAGATTCACCGTACCACTTGTCTGTCAGGTTCGAAACTTGCAAATTGATGAACCTTTAAAAAGCCTGTCAAAACACATGGAAGAGGATCTTAGAGATGGGATTGCAATAACTCGTTGATGAGATTTTTGTTGAACATTTTCACCCAATCGAAAGCGTTTAGTTACAACAGATGTCATTTGGAGGCATAGAATCAACGTTCATTTCACCCCAGATCGATGACCAGTTTCCCATCCTAAACTGGATTGCACATTTAATCTATGGACGCTACCATTTTTCCTTGTGCGCCATTTTTTGTTCGCCACTGTCTTATAGTTATTGCGCGATCCTTTGCTTTCCCGCGTAAATGTAATTTAGGAATCCTACCATAATCCTACCCTGTAAGATCTGCTAAGCGTGTCTGTTGGTGTGCTTGTATATGTGTGTATGTGTATGTGCTATAAAATCGCTAAGGGTGTCTGTTAGTGTTTCTGTGTATGTGTATGTGTGTATTGTATGTGTGTTTGGGTGGGTACTGTGTGTATGTATGTATGTGTGTGAACATGTGCATGTGCTTATGTATGTGTGTCGTGTTTGTTTGTCNATCCCTAGCACTTTTATAGGTAGCGTGGGATGTGAAGGGACCACAAATGATTAGTAAGTGGTGAAATTGAATCGAAATAGTGACTTTGGGCAAGAGCGACGCCGCGCACGAAGTAGTGTCGCAGAATGCAGCAGAACCAGCGCAGCAAGTAAAGAATACAGGAACAAAAGAAATAACAGTGGAACTATGTATGCAAAAATAATAATCGCATATCGATCGAGCTTTACGAGAACGTTAGAACTGCGAAAACCAGGCAACTAATAAGCGATTGCCGCGTGCGGCGATCGTTTTCACAAAACTAATTCATCTGCCGTCTTCCCTCTACAGCTTCTTCGAGCAAAGAACACTTCAAAGGGCGTGTGCCCTGTCCATCCTGGCTTACGCCCCACTCTTTCCAATTTAGATTCTTCATCTTTGCAGGTAAAAAAGAATTTCTCTTCAGCAAATAAATCCAAAATCATTTATTATGCACCTGCAGCCAGCAGCGCGAGCCACAGCTTTTGCCAAAAGAGTTTTTCCACATCCCGGTGGGCCGTAAAGTAGAATACCTGAAAAAAAAAACATTCAGAACTATCGTGCCGATAATTAGCTCTTGTACAACTTCGTGCAGGTCCAAAGATAAGCTTCAAATGGTGCTGCTAAAAAGATCTACATACATACAGAATACACAGACACATTCCCAGCATTCTCTTCTTTTCCAATAGCCCTGATGCTCGATGGTCTTACTTTCGAAGATAAACTCGTTCTCTGATGAGAGAAAATGAGGTGGCTTCGAACAATTTAACTGGACTGCAAAAGATCTTCTACCTCTAATTATTCCGCAATAATCGGCCAATAAGATAATGGTAAAGCACATGAAAGCACAATATCTGGAAAACATGGGATTCGAGATATTCCCAAATGCATATTATGCAATTGAGCAGTGGTAGCGGGCAATGGGCCCAACAATTTCCGCTGAAGAAAGATTTCGTATTCTTCTCACAGTGCACGCATAGTGCTTTCCTAGCCGCAAACTAGCTCAAAGTGAGTATTTCCTTTGCAATCTTACTAAAATCATAACAACACCAGGTTATGGGAGGGACTTGACCTTGAGCTATTCATTCACAATCCTCCTCTATTCCAAATTACAACATATGACTGTTTATAGGCCCATCTAAATGAGGTCCTCTGCTGTTACGTGCAACGAGAGAAAAGGCCAAGCTAGAGAAATTCACTTCCCGCCATTTCCGCCTATGAATAATGGGCACAAATTTATGCAGTCATCCAGTATTAGATTTCGAAAGAATTTGCAGCGTTGATAGCGTTATATATTCCAGGCAGTATCGATCGATGCTTTTCATGCCAGTGCAAAGAAATCACAACTATGAAAGTGAAAACCTTTTGGTGGGCAAAGAAGTGGAGAATCCGACTCAGCAGCAATTTGAAGAGGAAGAATAATTCGATCTTTCATATCCGCGATAAGTTCGTCGCATCCACCTTAAAGAAAGGAGTATGTTCAGGACTGCGATCTCGCACAAGAAAAGTCCTGAGAATGTTCTTAATCTTATAATTTTTGTTGGAAAACACGGCAAGAAATTACGTACCAATATCATCCCACTCTGCCCCAGCATCTTCTCCTCCGACGAACTGAGTGGCAATTCGCAACTCATGTTCATTGAGCTCAATCTTCTCACTAAGCCCTAGTTCTTGAAACAGTTGAGCCACCTGCAGGGAGTCAATATACGCTTTATTTTCGATGTTTCAACCTTTCCCATCTCCTATTCATAGCACAACACAACGGTGGTGACTATGAGACCCTGAACAAAGAACAATGTGAGAAATACTTGCCCGTTTTCGGTTCTCTTCGCGAGCGGCGTATTGCGGATCAAGAAACTTGACCATATAGCGGACAGTGAAGAACGACAAGGCAGCAGCTGCAGCGATTCGGACGCATAGTGAAACGATTTCTGCTCGGTCTGACATGGAGCTGAATCTAATCTTATAAAGAGCGAAGCGAGTTGAAAGAAGACTCATAACAGTACAAAACAGTAAATGGCCAGTGTTCACGCCCACCAGAATTCGAAAAACGCTAGATAAAGAGCATGAATATAAATATCACCGTTTCGTAATGGAAACGATTACAGACAAGCACAGGCTATTTCTATATTCTGCTTCCACCACATCATACGTTTCCTAGCTTTTAGTGGGAACATCGAAATTATCCTAAAATCCTAAACTTTTACGTACCCCGCCCTCCACCGGTAGCGTACATTGACCAGAAAAGGAGATCCTGGTAGGGACTTCCGCAGAACTGCGAGTGAGGACCTAAGCGCGACGAGAGACTGGGAAACGGATAAAAATATCTAGACTACAGTTTTGTATGTGAATCATCCAAGCAACGTACGAGCGATCAATGATTGCTCGAAGAACAATGTTAGTTTTAAATGCAGGGTAATTGTCAATCAGCAAGGATGTGTGCCATGACGCAGCACTGAAGTCCTGGCGTTGCAAGCGACAAGTTGCGCGTTTGCTGCCAAGCAGAACGGGAGCCTTCATTTTGATATGTGCTTTGTCGCATGAACATCCTTTATGTTAGGCTCTGACGTTTCTTCCTTCGACAGAAACGGTTTGGTTTTGAGCGTATTTTTTATGCAAAAGACGACGAGGTTTCAGTTGTTCAATTGCACATNGTCGCTATGGGTCATGTCAAGTTGTTTGAACTTCTTACATGGGTTCCTTTGTGATCGGTGAAGTCTCTACAATGCCGGTCAAACTCGTCCGAGGATACTTACGGGCCAATCTTTGAGCCTTTATAACGCCCTAACTAGGCCGTTTTCCGACCTAACAGCGCCAGATGTGGTATAGGAGGGGGCCTCGAATTCACCCTATGAAGAAATCTCAGAAACCATTTTTATCAAGAACTGTGCCTTCAAAGTTAGTGATGCTTAAAGGACCGCCATCTAGCTTTAAAGCGTTTCTACCAATGTGTCTTCAAACTGGAGTGAATCATATTGCGCATCTTTTATGTTTGCCATTACTTCAGTAAAAATTCTCGACGCCATTATCCAGAGCATCAGGATAGAGTATGGTGCGCGGAATGCTTTCGTAGGCCATTGAATGAACGACTCAACAGTACTACCGTCAGGCGCTTTTCTACCGGGAACTCCGCTGAAGGTACAGCATCTGCTGCTGTGGTCAAGTTGCCTGTGCTGTGGAACACATGAAGAGAAACAAGAAGGAACAGCTTTTGTTCAATCGTCAGCATAATGCTAAAAAAGGTTGGATGCGCAGGTATCGGAAATTCATTAGTTCTTTTTCCAATGGACCTAGAGTACTTGAATTCGAAAGAACAGGATGGGAGCACTGTACGGCAGATGACGGAAAGTAACAATAACTGATAAGAGCCTATAAGGAGCCAAAAGAGCAAGAGCATAAGTAACATGCAAGAACGGCACTTGATTTTTTCTGCGGTCACCACACAATGAGCACAATTGGTTGCTTTACTCCGCTATGTTGAGTTTTCGACCTTAGGAGTCAAATTCCAAGTAAAAGCATAATCCCGACAAGGGAAAGGTGCTCGACATAAGACGGGCAAGACGAGTAGGAAAAATGCCATGCGACAAACGGAATGAGAAGGCGTAATAATCACCTGGGCAAAGGTGATGCCGACCATGGGAACTCACGGCCACGATTCACATATCCCTCAGTTTATGGAGCCAATAGGGGAGAGATGAGATTAGTTTCCACGTTACAATGTCCGTGAGGTGCGCATCCGAAAAAAATCAGCAGTGCTAGTCAAGCCACCAAAGATGGAAACAGAGCTCCAGACATCAGGTTTACACTTGATTCTTGGGAATTGGGCAAGTTGAACAGCTCACACAACCTAAGTTCTCAGACTGAAACAGCAACGACGGTTAGGCGTGTCACCTAGTTCACCGAACAAAGATTGCCATCACCTTTTGCTTTGTGCCTGATCTTTCCAATACAGAAAAATCTTTGTCACCAACACCCTACGCGTCTACATGAGCTCCGCAATTAGTTCGCGTGGAGCGTAAACCGAAACAGGGCCTATCCGGAGGAGTTCGTGCTCATGATCCCTGACCATGCAGCGAAATTTAATCCATTTATGTAGGATCAGCCTCAATCAGTAGCCTACTGCTTTAACACGGCAAATTTCACAGCATTGAACGTTTGCTTCAGAACCAACCTGTCATAAGTTCGTAGAGAACCTTTCCAGAAAATTTAACCGGCGCTGGTTGTTAATAGTATAAAACAAAGCGAGATCAAACCCGGTGCTTGGTTTACTTCATAATTCAAGATGCACTCTCTAACCTCATTTCCTCTAGGAAATCGGAAAAAGCCATTTGAATTTAGAGAAGTAGTTCAACAGATCTACAATTTTACTTTTATCATGACAAAAGCAACCATTGGAAGAACCATTATAGGAGCATCTCTTTGAAACAAAATTTGCAATATCAACATATTCATTCATACGTAATAACGAACAACAGTAACAATTAGTTCAGATGATACGTACAGATACTTGCCATACACGTATGACATTGTCTGTGTATCCAGCATAAAGAGTCTGTCCATCCTGCGACCAGGCCAAAGAGACACACTGAGGGGCAGTCATCGTCTTCCCTGTGATGTCAGGCTTCAACTCTTCAATCTCACGCTTATCCTCCAGATCCCAGATCTTGATAACGGGACCAACAGCGGCACAAAGCCAGTATCTGTTAGGCGAGAAAGCCATTGCATGAATCACATCGTTTCCGTTGAGAGTGTACAAGTGCTTGCCCTCATTCAAATCCCAGAGCATTGCCTGTCCGTCTTTACCTCCTGATGCACACAGCGAACCATCAGGAGAGACCGTAACAGTGCTGACGTATCCGGTATGACCAATGTGATTGGTCTTCAGACGGCAGTTTCCAAGGTTCCACACCTTGACGATCTTATCCCATCCAGCAGAAACAATGACAGGATCACGAGTAGAAGGCGAGAACCTCACAGTAGACACCCAGTCGGTGTGGCAGTCTTCCTAAAATAAACAGAGTTTTCCATGATTTATTTGCCAGTTTTCGCAGTTAATGTTTGAACTTAAACTTTAGAAAAGTAAAACAGCTACACATTTCGGTTTGACTGCATACATCAGCTTCAAAAAAAGACTGCTCATTGCTAGTGAGCAGCTTCCAGCAAATTCGAAACTAAATTCCCCGTATAAAGTCTGAATCCCTGCTAATGTCAAAGCCAAGCTAATCTTGTCGCAATATCGAAATTTCTTTAGCCCTCAAAGACGTCACGATCGTATTTGTTTAGCAGACTTCCTATCACAGACGAAACTTGACGATTGATAAGTTGTATTTACATTGTATAGCATTCACACGGCGAACAACGCTGCAGTAATACGCAAAAACGACTACAAGACTGTTCTTTGCCAAGTTGGTCAGCGGAGAATTCTGTTCGTTTAAGCCTCGAACAGAGGTAATGAATGGTGTATATCATTATAAATAGTGTATATCATTATAACTACAGACAAGGGGTCTTTCCAAAACACTGTCTTTGACTGAGGCCGATGAACCGAATTCGACTTAAGCGGTTGTGCATGACTGATTATCATAACAGTACCTCACTTATTGGAAGTACCTGAAGAAAATCACCATCAACTTCATTAATAAACCACCCAACAGTGTCTCCGTGACGGGGCGTCGATAAGTTATTCCCTAATTACCTCAAACCAATGCTGAAAATTAACTGGTCTCACAGCGGCTCTATTTTTCGATTCGATACAACTACATTCCTTTTTCCTTCATAGACGCACTACTCGGACGCAACCCTTTCACTCTTTGTATTCAATACCCATGCCCCATGCATGATTTCATAGGAGATGTCTTTGAATCCCACAACCCTATGAAAATGTCACACTTATTGATAGACTCAATTTTTCATGACTACGTGCATCCCTGCTGAAGCTTTCGTAATTCTGGCACTCAACAATGCCCTCACCATTGATCAAAAGTTGAGAACCAGTATGAGGAGGATGTGTGCTATGAGCAATGCAAAAAGTTACCGTGATTGTGTACTTGCATTGCGCCAACGTGTTCCACAACTTAATGGAGCGATCACGGGAGCCGGATACGATTTGACGGTTGTCAGCAGAAAACGCCACGGAAAGGACGTCCTTAGTGTGGGAAGAGAACTGACGAGTGGACTGTCCACTGAAATTCATCAATTTATTCCAGATACAGGATAAATGTGAGCAATACAAGCATATTTTCTGACGCTGTTCTTTGACCAGCGCAATGCAAAACATTACTGCCTCAAGTTACAATGAGAGACATGCAAAGTATGCGAACGTGCAGTGTACGAGGCCGCTGCCATAGTCCCTCTTCCACAACCGTGAGCCCTTCTGTAAATATCTCAGCAGAATCTAAGGAACAAGTGACTGAGAGATAGATATCATTCGATAAACTTTGTAAACCTTCCCCAGCAAGTGACCTGGTGGACTTCTTAAGATTAAAAAAAGCTGTGCGAGTAGAGCATAAATAAGAAGCCCCGAGATTTGGAATTTCGAATTTTGATTGGTGGTGCAACGTCTCGCAGAGGAATGGATTGAAATATAAAAACACTAAAGTTCACAGACGATGAATATTAGGTCATCTCATTCAAAAGTGCGACAACCATACGGATGGCTCGAAAAGCGAAAATGTTGAAACCATAGACAGCTTTGATGAGAATTTAGAATAAATGGCAACTTCTATGCTCAACTTCGTCATCAACGCTGCAGAGAAAAAAGCCAAAAATTGGAAAGCAAAAGAAAACAAAGAAGATCAACGGTGAATTATCAATTGCGGCATCCCTAGAAGGAAAGCTACTGCCCAAATCATCGTTGGTCGAATCAGCAATTGCAGTACCTGGTGCTCCCTTGACATGATGTCGAAAATAAGTGCTCAACTCCGAGAAAGGAACTACTCATGCAAACGAAGGAAAAAANAAAAAAGTCATCAAAAGGCACGAGCGCCGGTCCGCTTGGATGCCGAAGATGAATCTTCAAAATGGCTTGTGATGAGTTACGCGGCTCTCAAAGGATGTTCACCATTGACTAAAGATTTTTAGGGAGTTACTTTCTATAAACTCTTTTCTGAAAAAAGGACTGTCATTGCTGAAGTGTGAAGCCGGCTGCTCAACGATATTACCGACGATTGGATGGCGTCAAACATTTACGAGGCCAGTATCGCTCATAGCATTCTAAGCCCGAATGGTTCGGCAAAGTTCGGACATAAAGAATGTCGAGACTTGGATTCAACCACTACACTCGTTCGAACTGCTTACGATACGCGACCTAAAATACCTTTGTCAGCTGACGAGACATGTCACTGGCTATAACTAACTGGTGGGTCACCGGAACAGATACAAAGAGCATCTAATTCGCACTGTAAAAGCAATGATTTTCCCTGTGACCTGTTGCTACCTGAACGTTAGAATGTATCGCTTGAAGTGATGTAGCCTAGTTGATAGCATATTAGAAAACTACTCTTTCTCGTATTCTTATTTTGCTTTAAAAAAGCAGAATCTTTTGAATGAAGAATTCAACTCGTTGGATGCTCATGACAACTGTAAATCCCATGTCCAATGGGTTGCGACCAGCTTGTGCGGCGCGACCCCATTAAGTCGACAATAAAGTCGCAACACACCCTCCGAAACCCCGATGGTAATCTCGAATTTCACCTCACTCCTTTGACCCTGTCGGCTCGAGCGTCCAGACAGAACCGCTCGCAAAATGGACTTGGCGCTTAGTCATAACGATAGAGCCCAGTAGTCATCTACACATGAAAACTTGCAGGAAGCATCAGGCAAGATAGATCGCCCATGCACTCAAAGACAGGTGCCCACCTAACGTTCCTACCATCAAAGAGATTTCGTTCCTTTGTCCTCTGGAATGCACTCTCGTCGTTTCGCTGAGAACTTTCTGGTATACAAAGGACCTCTTAACTCGAAAGCAAATAAGGGTTGACCAAACAGCCATCTTCAACTACACATAAAATAACTCCAAAACCTGAGTTCAGCGAACCGCAAAAGTATTACTGTCACTACGCCTTCATGGTCCAAAATCACGTCTGACCACATGGTGTAGTTTTGGCCAGACAACATCTGGAGCGTTTGGGAGAGAAATCGACATTCACCCAGTGTATTAGCCTCTTAACCTCGTCTGACTAGCATTTGCTCCAAGAAGTAAAACTCCGCTTAATAACTCCCATAAAAGTAAACGAAGTAAATGGCTTAAAAACTAAAATGGCCTCCTTCTCACAACCATTCTTCTCCATTATAGATAAGTGGCACTGGCAATTCCGCAGTTAATATTACAGCGTTCTCGATGATAGTGGTGTGTCGTTAAATAAAAATCACCCAATAAAGTTGTTTAATAAATGATAATTAGGCTCGGTCAGAAAAATAGTGCATCGGCTTAACTGGTAACTGTAGAGCTACATTAACATGAAATTTAAGTGGATTCCAAACTGTTTTTGATTCACTGTTCATTAAACTTTTCACGCTTAAGGGGTCTGTTGTCGCTCATACGACCCTATCTGTCCTTCTCTTTTCCTTACATCACGTAACTGTAGCTTTTGATTTACAAATTTTGGTTAGTCCTTGTCCAACCATCCATGATCCTGACACATCCTTCTTCATCCGCCCAAGTGCCAGTTCACGGTTAAAAGTTAATGAAAAAAAGTCGATAATGGTATTTCGTCCAATGTAATTTGATTTGAAATAAAATGAAATCAGGTGACGAAAAGTGAAAAGAATCCCAACCTCGAAGAACGGAAAACGCGTAAAAGGTTTCAACAGCCTTGCAATTTTTTCTACCGACACACATTTATCCCTTTTGGAGCATAATTTTGAGCATCAAAAACGCACGCTGTCTAACATTTCTTACCAACAGCAAACCTCCCTCAACTGAAAAGTCTAAATAATTATGAAACTACGGACTTTGTCGAGAAATGGTTAGAGCCATGCAAAAGAACATTTTACAGAAGAATGATTGTTGCACAGCTCATTCTCTAGGTGATGGACATGTTATAAGCGATTGAAGGGACTGCGTACCAACTTCAACAGCTCAAGAACTGATGATGAAGCAATATGAGCAATCTTTCACTTCTCTATACCAGAACGAAAAATCAAAATAGGATCAAATAGGGTATAGCACACATTAACTAAGCTAATCACAGTGCAGCGATTAAAGAGATCAGCGTAAATGCGGGAAGAAAATGAAAGGGAATGATTAGTCTACAAAGAAAAGTGTGAGCAAAAAAAAAAAAACATCCTGCAAGGTCAGCGCAACAGTAATTATGAAAGCCTGCTAGTTGGTGAAAAAACCATTGAGAATTATCCCTCCATTTCCAGTTCTGCAGATCAAAAAACACTTCCGTGACTCAAATTTGCAACAACGAGCAGTTCAAATGTGAACGTCAGATTAAAGACATTGCCTGACCACCTATCAATCTCCCTCGATGTGGAAAAATCAAGCGGAGAATGTGAAAAGGGTAATGATCTCGACATCCAGAAATGAGATTTCGATTGTCGCCGAAAGCATGAATCGACTTTGACTCTTACGGAAAACATCGAAATGCAACGCTACTATGAAATCTGCCCCCACGAACAGGCGAAAAAAATCTATCCCGATTCTCTTGCAAAGAATGATGAGACCCTTTCCAGCGCAAAGACTTTGTTAGATGACTTCAAGGCCAGACGCCTATATTACCTCGGCATAGCCGAAATGAACCTGTTCTGTCTGCCCTTGATTGCCGAGTAACAAAAACGAGATGGAAGTCCTAATCCTCTATTATCAACATTGGAAGGGTTTCAACTGTTAAGCTAAACCCATAACATAAACATGAACATAAGGAACAAGAAACTAAACAAGAGTAACACGACATTAGCGTTAAAGCACGCCCAGCTTCTTGTGACCCCGTCTCGGTCTACTGGTCTTCAAGTAAAGAAAAAGCAAAAGAGTAAACTCCAAGTAACAAAAAAGAAAACAAAACAAAGAGAGAAAAGCCAAATAAACAGATAACCTACGTCGTTAGGTCCCACAGGCGAAGAGTTTTGTCCCAAGAACCAGAGAGCGCGAATTGCCCATCAGAGGAAATGGCGACATCAGAAACAAAATGATTGTGACCGGTCAAAGCCTTAACTGGGCGACCAATGGCATCGATGTCACTGACGACATTGTCCACATCCCAAAGAATGATGGTACGATCTGGAAGAAACATTGCTTGTAGCTAAAGGACCGAAAGATCATATGAGATTTAGTTCTTCCTCGACCCTTATATATAAAAATTTGCGTCAAAAGTTCATTTAATGCTACACATTTAAATCAACGGCGCTAACGAATTTCTTAAACCAAGGGAACTTTGACTTGGATGAAAACATGTTCTCGTTTAAATGTCAAATAAAATCGAGAGAGAATCTCATTAAGTTCTGCACCACTCATACCCAACACTCACCACCTTCGCTACGAGGAACTTCTATTTACAGGTTATCCACAATAAGTGCTACAAAATGAATATTGCGGGAATATAAAAGTTCGGGTCTCAAATGGTTGCGCGCTTCTTTCAATAGGCGATCTCCTATCATGACTTGACTTGAGTCTACCTTCTGCCAAGGAGAAGGCTCGTCTTATTCAACCCGTTCGCTCTGTACCTCTTCAGATCGTTCTACTGGTGGCGCAATCAACAGTAGAGCCTCCTATTTTGAAATCGAAAGTTAAATGGGTCCGATTGCAACTACATTCTTTGAAAACGAAAAGCAAGGAACTATGTCTTGTTATCTAAAGGCTTACATACACAAAACCCACCAACTCGAAAATGAAGATTTAAGAGCCTTTTATAACAAGTCTGTATCCGTCCTCTCCACCCCACCTTTCCTTTGGATCATAGAAACCCTGATACCTCTTCTATTCAGATGTTCGGGTGAAATCATGGTTTCTTCATAGAGTGGATGCAGTCTCTTAACGAATTGAAAGAGGAAAGATGGCAAATTTCATAAAAGTGCTTGCAAATCGTAACCTGTTTAAAAATTAAAGGTGAAAAGAATGGTTAGCACAAGAAGAAATAAGATCATCATGAAAAAGGAAAGTTGCTTATGACGGTACTCACCGCGAGAAGACGAAATAACAGTGGTCTTATCGTTGTGGGTGAAGGTAGCGATTTGCGTTACCCACCCGTTGTGGCCCTCAAGGGTGCCTTTAAGTTGCATCTGTTCAACCACCATATTGACCCTGTCCGAGCGAAAACCTTAAACCTATGTATGAAATTGAAACCGAACGAAACAAAAGGAAAAAAGCATAGCAACGGTAAAACCACTAGACAAATAACCAGAATAGAAAGTGCCGATAAAGCGCAAACGGTAAGGAACGTTCCGGGAAAGCCGTAAGCATCAGCGCTGCGGGCAAATCCGCAAATTAAAGTAGCAACAAAGCCTTTAATAGTGCACCCAACAGAAAGAAACCCTTAAAAGCCCAAAAATATTGAAAAGGCAGAGAAGGCAGCGAGATCCTGTAGCATGTTCAATCCGATCCATGCGGGACCCATAAGGAATCGTTATTGGGTAACCTTTAATTGTAGGGTGCATCTTCGTGACGTTTGCTGAGCTCTCAACATTCCTGTGATTTTCTCAAACAGTGCTCATTTGTATTTGCTTTCGGGTGTGTCGCTTCGTTTTTTCTTGTAGGGCTCCCGTAGAACCTTGCCACTGACGGTTGGTGGTTTGATATCATCATCAGTGTTATGTATGTGCAGTGAATCCGTAGGAAATCAGAGGGTTTCCTAAGCCGATTTGGTGTTTTACCATCCTGTTTTCACGATATAGTGTTTATGTTTGCTGTTTTTCCTTTACTAAGTCGCCTGTCTAGTTTTATCCGTTATTTTTTCTTTATGTGTCATAATTTTGCCGCACATCGGATAGATTTACAAATCGGTCGCGATTCTCACTCAGTCATCGAGGATTGAGGATGTGTCATATTTGTTTTTCATTGCAATCAGTTTTCGATCTAATATACGAGGAATCATGTCGCAAGTTCATACACTTTTTGACGTTTCTCTTCTCATAAATGGGAATTGCTTCGTAAAAAATCAGCGTATGTTCACACGAGCAACCTGGACTGTTACATTTTTGATTAATTCAAAAGAACTAGTTGGATGTGTTTTCTTTTTACTCGACGTTTCGTTTAGCTGTTCACGTTTAAAAGGCGAAACATTGTGGCCAAACGGAAATTGGCAATTGAGAAAAGGGTCTCACATGCTTACAGTGGATCGTTAATGCGGCTTCATGTAGGATGAAATGAAGGAAATAACGATTCCCTTCACATCGTAAAGCTTTCACGTGTTCGCCAGCGTATTTGATGGCTCCAGAATAGGCGAATGGGTGCTTTTGGCTTGGGCTATAAGCTTGGATGTGTCAAACATTTCCTGTGCTGGTTTGCCGGTGGGAGAGCAGAAAATATGGTTGGCACGCGAAATTAAAATTGAATGGAAATTGTCCGGGGACTCATTAATAGTTATGTCCGTTTGTCAGTCAGTCAATGTTTTTGAGTGTCACAAAACTGCACTATTTGAAGAATACATTGATGGATCAGATCAGCGTTTTCCCGTCCATCAAGAAGGGAAGAGGGGTATCCTAAGTTTGGCGTCTACCTGAACTTAGAATTTCTTATCTTCAGACCCACTTTCTAGCGGAAATCGCCCTTAAATTATGGTGTTGTCCACGAAAATACTCCATCCGTTCTCATTCCGCGACTGCCATGCCCACGCACTACGTGATTTTAAAGCCAGCGGCGATTTAGAGACCAAGTGAAATCACAAGAACGAAGTAACCGCTTAAAGGTAGTGGGCACTGTCCATGACATGGGAAAGTAAGGTCAAATGGGAAATCCGCAAGATGTTCCCGAAGCCCGCATTCGAAAGAAAAGTGGGCAAAGGTGTCAAAGCGGATAGAGTGAAGGACACTTTCAGATCAATCTCTAATCAGGGTGTTATGGGTGGTGATTGAACGTGTACCGGACCGAAACCTGGAGCGGGAACAGTTTATGTTCGTGAAACGGGTGGGATTATGAGATTGCCGGGGCTGTCAAACTGTCAGGGACGTTCCAATAGTCCTTTTTAACAATTGTACCTATTCTAAAATGGTCACACTTCTTTTTTGCTTTACTGATGGCAATGGCGGTAAGTTATCGATCCGAAACGTTTCACAGCTGTGGTGCTTAATAATGTATATGCGGACTGGTTCTGTATCAATAGAGATTTTGTCGCAAAGCAAGCGTGATGCATCAGGGACAGGATGCCGGCGGGCATCCTTCTTGCCGACCTTGAAGATTAACAGTTCTTAATATGTAAACGGCGTTTATGTAACCACTGACCCAGACAAAGGGTTCAGGATCGTCCCAGTCACCCTTGTGCCTTTTTTTTCGGGTAGTCCCTTCGTGGGTCATCGAACTGGCTGGGACGCCAGCGTATTCACGAAGCGCTAATCTGCCTGTTTCGCAGCTATCGATCGATCGCTGGCTGCTGGTCTGACCAGTTCAAGGCGCGAGGCCACCCCGAACTCCTTCACGCTCGCTCGCACGCTCTTTACCCACCCAAAGCATCCTTCTTTCCTTGAGCACTCTCCATAATCCATTCAAGATCTTTCCATGACGTGTTATATGTATTTCCAATAAATCATCCATCGTGGGCGTTGTTAATTCACACGTTTTTTGTTAGCATAATGTTTTTATTTTCCCTTTCAAGCCTGGCGAATGCGCTTCCACAAGCCTACCATGGTTTGATCACTTTGCATTACAATGGAAAAAATGTTTCAAATAAGTGGGCAGCCTTGAATGTTGATGGAAATGCCTACATCCTGTTCAGAAAAAACTTTGCGCATTTATTTGATTTGTCGTCAGTAAGAAAGGGCAAGACAGGTTCGATTTAGAGCTCGGCAAAGGCAACATGCCTAAGCTCTGCGCATTCCCCAAGTTATTCCCATTCCTCTGCCCAAAATTTGTTCCGTTATTTCATTTCCCAAGTGAGACCTTAGTAATGATTCATTTTATTTTTTTTACTTTCAAGCTTCAGAGCTGGCTACCTAAATCGATATACAAGAGTAATTTGGAATTTAAGCACAAATTGTTATTTTTGAGGAAAAATACGTGTGGTCAACACAGTCTCATTGTGGCTTTACCATTTCTCCCGTCTTCCGGAAGTTTAGACAAATTAGGCTATATCTTCTTATTTACGCACTTTTATTGTTTTCTGTAGTCTTATGGAGTTTCATTCGATTTTGTTCTTGAGGTGAACTGACCTCTTTACAGACTGGCTATCCGGTTCAGTCGACATCCCGTATCTTGAGTCTTAGGAAGAACATACGTCTGGCTTTTATGTGAGAAAAGTTCTGATTAGTTTGAAATTCGATCGTATAAGGAAGAAGTTAGAAATGCAAGCTATTTTGGAAACCCAAAGAAGCCATCGCCCCGGAAAAATTAAAATTAGGACCTCATGCTCCACTATTTTAATTAAAAATTAAATTGGATTCAATTTAAATTTAATTTAAAATTAATTCAATTTCAGCGCCAGAGAACCATATCGTTTTCTTACATGTCTTTTTTTCTTGGGTTAATACGTTCTTAGTGTCTAGAAGAATGTGACAAGCTCTTTATCAGTGCCTTCACTAAAAAGAGTCTTGGCACATACATTTACATTTAAATCAGCAGTCAGGTGGCTCTATGATTCCAGAGTGGTCAGCATGATAAAAACAGTACTCATGCATTGTAAAATATTTGAATACCGTGATCGCAGCAGGTTAAAGGTCAAATATGTCACAAGAACTAAACACGCTGTAGGGTTTGCCGTCCTATCAATTTTCAGATTTGCCTCGGGGGTTGTAGGACTAGATTTAAGTTGAGGACCGGACTAATTAAAGGTGACAACTTCTATGACGAGTTGTTAGAACTTCCAACATGGGAGTTTCTTGAGATAATTCAGCCTCTACAACGCCGTTGAAACACGCAAGCTATGGGTGTGGCATTCAACCGATACAATCTCTGAACCCTTATAACGATCTACTTAGGCCGTTTACCGATCTGACGGCGCCGGCTATCGTATACTGGAACTCTACTAATTTATCGGTTATCTATTTCTCAAAAACCTTTTTTATGAACTATGCCTTTATGCAAAGTAGTCTGCATCTGTAAGGAATGTTTAGAACTCGCGGGCACATCTTATTTCATTCCTTTGATTGAGTGACCAGTTACTGCTAGGAAGACACTCATCTTGTGCATCTACTCTTTCTCAGCCTTGTAGTAACATCCATTAGTTGTAAACGCGAGGGCATATGGTGCTCAGCTCATCAATTTTTTTTGGGATGCGCCACTTAGTGGGCTGATGAATTCGTATCTCGTTTGGCGATCGTTCTGACGAAGAGCAACAATCCAGTATCACTAGCTTTTTCCAGTCTTGTCTGTGATAAAGGTGCAGAAGAAATATTTTTTAAGGGAACCTTTTTTAAGGGGGTCCCCATCGGTTCGTAACGGTACAATCGTTAGTTCAAATCTTTGAGACGCTAAACCTTTTTTCGGCGACTTTTTCTTGGGTGAAAAGGAGTATTTTTTTGCAAAACTCTCGTCGGACAGGGATCCTAGATAACTCGCCATCAGGAAAACTTTAGTAATTCCATCTGCTTTTGAATCGAAAAATTGGAAGAAATGTTTAATCCAATTCTGGTTTTCTAATGGGGTGGGTCTTGAGCACCTCTCAATTTCAGTTTTCTTGGTAACGTTTTGTTGTTATCCCTGCCAGTGTGCATGCGATTGCACCAGCGCCTCGACTTTGCAAGCAAGTGTACTAGTTAGTCGTCATCATCCTGCTTCTGTACTAATGCATTTATGCGATGAATCATGCTTAAGGAACGATTGGACCCCCATTAATGAGTCGGCCATCATCAACATTACTTTGCTTTATTGGTTTATAGGCTCGTTTGGAATGCTTAAATGACAACTGTCGTGCTCCATTGTTTTGAAGTTACTCGTTCGCTGCTCGTTCATTCGAAATCACTTCAATAGCTCCGATATAAAGTGGTCTTCCTGCCAGTAGCCTAGTTTTTGTGAATTTGGTTCTGCCTCTATTTCGGTGGAATTCTCTTCCTCTTACTGTTGGACCTTATATTCAACCCCTCTTCCTAGGGTTTTTTTCGACTCGGCCTCTATTCCAGTACTACCCTTTCCATGGTTTCAATAGTCGAAATAAGTTCTCTTCACCTCA